GGTGAGATGTGGTAGGTGAGCGGTGTCACTTTACAAAATTGTCTTTTTACCTTAGTTCATTAATTGGGGGGCAAAATAACAGACTTGTATGACCAAATCATAGATCATTCATGTTTGATAATTCTCAGCCTGAAAGAGCTAATTAAAAATGATGAAATCATCATTTCTCTCACTATAGAAAGTTTGGTCACAATCTTGATCACTTGCAAGCTCTTGATTTGAGGTTCACATCATATCAACACTCCCCACACGATAAAAAATTATTAACAACAAAGTTATTTGGTGAAAATTGGGCGCATATTGCTGGAGGATTGAGAAAATAAGACTTGATCAAATCATTTTATTGTGAAAAAACGACGATAATAAAGGGAAAAATCGGATCCAGAAAAATCGAAAACAGAAAAATACAGCAGAAACACACAGATTTTACGTGGTTTGACGAATTGCCTATGTCCACGGAGCTGCAGATGATTTTATTACTTTGAATAATTACACCATTGAACTCCTCGACATTTACAAGAAAACACTCCTTTTTCTCTCTCCCTTTCTCTCTATCTCTCTCTCTACCAAAAGAGTTACAGTCAAAAGGGAAAAAGAATTCTGTAAGCCACCTAACAGAGGAAGGAGATTGGGATTAATTGGAGTAATTCACTTGGGCTTTGTGTTTTCTAATTTATAACCAAGCTAGTAGTCCCATTTAAGGCAACCATAATGCTTAGTTAGCAATTCTGCAAAAAGCATGATTCTAAGACAGGTGAGGCAATGCTGGAACGCGGGGAGGAAAAATGTGGAGCTTCACGCAGTTAAGCAGTTTCGCGGTTCAACGAAGAGAAAAAGATGCGGGATTAACAAACTAAGCATGAATTAAGCTTTCCTTAATTCATGAATCAAGAAGAAGCGAGAGGAGCAGGCGGAAAAAGCATAATTAATATTATTGGGAGGAGATGGATTCCCTGCCTGAAAATCAGACTTGGGAGTAGACAGAACTTCCACTAAGGAAGCAGGCATTGCATAACAAGTGGGTGTTCCGGGTGAAGACTGCGCTTGATGGCAGCAAGAGGTACAAGGCTAGACTTGTTGAAAAAAGATTTTCAGCTGAGACAGGATATTGCCCATGCAGTGAGAATTATAAACAAATACATGAGTAACTCGAGAAAGAGCTTGAAAGTACAAGGCTATGTTGACACTGATATGTCAACTAAGAGTGTTACCCTTGAGAAGTTGAAGTTATGCTCGACTTCAGTTAGTCTTCTAACTTGAAGACAGACGCTTTGAGTTGCAGAGATAGAGGATATCACGTTTGAGGAGAATGACGACGTAGCTAGTGGATGATACAACGAGTGTCCTAGTCTTCAAGTAGTAGAATTCTTGAGATTAGTGAAAATACGGTCCACTGCAACAATTAAAAAATAATTAATATTACTAATTATGCTTTTTCGGCCTGCTCCTCCCACTTCTTCTTGATTCATGAATTAAGAAAAGCTTAATTCATGCTTAATTTGCTAATCCCGCATCTTTCTCTCTTCGCTGAACC